TGGCCTGCTACTAAGTGGGGAAACCTGTATTATAAAAAAAAAAACATAAAGTTTCAAATAACGGTCAAGTGTTTAATGTGCAAATAACTCCGCGCGTACGAAGTTGCGGGCGGCTGCTAGTCAGTTATATAATCATTTTTAAAAACAGCAGCTTACAACGATGATTACGTAGATCGATCGGTAGGTAGGTATACTTAATACGCAATGGGCGCAACGTTTAGGGACGTAAAATTTTCAAAACGTTTTCTAGTTGAAAGGACAATTTACTAAACCAAACGGTAAAATTAAGGTAAATGTAACATCCAATGTCTGTCACTTACAGTCACCTTAAAACTCTATCTTACAGTCATAAATAACATATATTACTATAAACCGTGACTTTGCTTGCGTTTATTACAAATAAATACAGCCTATGTTACTCGCCGATAATGAAGCTTTCTATTGGAGAATCAATTTTTAAAATCGGTTTAGGCGTGAAAGTAGAACAAATAAACTTTCGTGATTATTAATAGTTGGGTTCATAATATATCGGTGGTTTTTGTTTACTAACTCAATAAGTTATTATAAAGAAAATCACCATGAGTTAATATATTATGTAGATAGATACCTACCTATATTTCATTATATTTTTATTTTAAATTTTGTACTTACCGCGAAAGACAGTAACGGTGTTTTGGGACACACCCCAAGTTAATAACAAATTTTCAATATCCATTTTTTGTCGATGCACGCCACAAATTTTATTTTATTTATTATAACTACTTTTAATGCGCGCCCACGCATTGACACTCACCATTATATATATTAACAACTTGCCAAACGTTCTCAACGATGATACATGTGTGCTCTTTGCCGACGATATTTCAGTTTTAATACCTTGTTCAGATGCCTCAGAATGTGAAAATGTATTGGATTCAATATTGTATAAAATCACAAAATGGTTAGAAAACCACAATTTGCTTCTCAACCTTAACAAAACAAAAATTATTCAATTTAAACCTTACCAAAAAACCGCTTTACATTTAACATATAACTTTAATAATACAAAATTAGAAACTGTAAACTCCGCAACCCTGTTGGGACTGGAGCTGGACACACATTTAAACTGGAAGCAACACATTGGTAAAATATCACGTAAGTTATCTTCTTTTATATATGCTCTCAAACATCTTAAACGAATTACGGACATACGTACAGCATTAGCAGCATATTATGCGTACGCACATTCGATACTTTTCTATGGTATTATCGTATGGGGAAACTCCTGTGATATAGATAGGGTCTTTGTACTGCAAAAGAAATGCATAAGAATTATTACCAATATAGATCAAATGGACTCGTGTAGACCATACTTTGTTAAACATCACATACTAACTCTAATATCTATCTAAAGGGTAAGACAACAGTCAAATCTACTAATTTTAATATTATTCATCAAAATATTCAGGGTTTGACTGGCAAAGATTTAGAATTAGAATTATTTGTAAAAGAACATGATGTTCATATATATTGTTTAACGGAGCATTGGCTGAGGCCTTGTGAAAAGTTATTTCATTTAAAAAAATTTCAAATGCTTAGTTCATATACACGTAGGAGAGCCCAGCGGGGAGGATCATTAATATTTGTAAATAATAATTTCAAGTTTAAGGAGCGTAAAGATATAGTGAATCTTTCAGTTGAACGTCATATTGAGCTATCTTGTGTGGAACTAAATAGTATGATTGTAGTATGTGTATACCGACCCCCTGATAGTGACTATGGAACTTTTGAATCTGTGATGGAAGATGCACTTAGGAAATTACAGACAAAAAACAAATATTTGGTTGTATGTGGTGATTTTAATGTAGATCTTCTAGTGAACAGTTCAACATCCGTTCGTTTGCTATCATTATTTAAATGCTTCAATCTTTTTAATCAATTTCTTGAACCTACTAGAGTAACGGCACATTCAGCCACTTGTTTGGATAATGTATATTCTGATTATGATCCGATTAATAAACTTGTATTCAACGATCTTACATCTGACCATTACGGACTAAAGACGATATATAGGATTAATATCACTAATGAGCCAAAAATTATTAAGTGTAGACCAATTACTAAGATACGCCTAGATAATTTTAAAAATAACATAGATGAGAAACTAATTGAGATGGTATGGCCAAATGATGGTCCTGATGATCTTTATAGTAATCTATTCTGCCTTATAAAAAATGAATTCGAAAAGGCTTTTCCGTGTAAGACCGTAAAAGTTACACAGAAGTTACAGTTCTGTGACTGGGCTACTACAGGTATTTATAAAAGTAGAAACAAACTTTATGAATTATACGCTTTAAGAAAATATAACCATAATCAAAATTTCATTGATTACGTGAAGAATTATTCGAAAGTATTTAAAAGGGTGTGTTTTGCGGCAAAGTCAAATTTTATTAAAGAGAAAATAAAGAATTCCAATAATAAAGTCAAAACAACTTGGAATATAATAAACCGTGAAACCGGTAAGGAGCAAATACGTGAAGATATTCTGACACTTAACTTTAATAACACGACCATCAAATCTCATGATAAAATTGCTAATATATTTGATGAGTATTTTTTAAACATACCTATTGAAACAACATCTGGTTTAAATTCTTCACCAACTGCCGCAAAGGCTATTTTAGAAAAATACGTGCCTAAGGTAGACAGCCAGTTTAAATTTAAATATATTAGTTTCTTAGATATTATTAAAACTTTTAATTGTCTGAAAATAAAAAACACATGTGATTTATGGGGCATATCTCTTAATATTATTAAAAGTATAGTTCATGTTATAGCCCCTTACTTGGCTGATATATTTAATCTTTGTATAGATGAAGGAATTTTTCCAAATCTTATGAAGCTAAGCAAAGTTATACCTCTTTTTAAATCCGGAAATAGGGAAGACCATAGTAATTATAGACCTATATCAATATTACCGACGTTAAGTAAAATCTTTGAAAAAATAATTCTTGAACAGTTATTGTCTTATTTTAATTTAAATAAATTACTGCATACTAAACAATATGGTTTCACAAAAGGTCGCTCTACTGCTGATGCTGGTATAGCACTTCTTAAACATATATTCAGAGCTTGGGAGGCGTCACAGAATGCTCTTGGAGTATTTTGTGACTTATCCAAAGCATTTGATTGCGTTGAGCATCGAACACTAGTAACGAAGCTAAATTACTATGGTATCAAAGATTCCGCCCTACAACTAATATTGTCGTACCTCAGTTGCAGAACTCAAACTATCGATATTAACGGTGTGAGATCATCTGGATCACAAGTAAAAATGGGAGTTCCCCAGGGATCTATTCTGGGTCCCTTTCTGTTTCTAACTTACATAAATGATTTGCCATTTTTTGCCGAAATTTTATGCGATATAGTATTGTTTGCAGATGATACTTCTTTAATATTTAATATTGATAGATGTAAAAATAATTTTGACGATGTAAACAATGCTCTATCACAGATTATGACCTGGTTTACTGTAAATAATCTCCAGTTAAATGCTAAAAAAACGAAATGTATAAAGTTTATGTTACCTAATGTAAAAGCAGAATTTACAGAAATTAAACTTAATAATGAAAAGCTCGAGTTGGTTGATTCAACAATCTTCTTAGGTGTAACGCTGGATTCTAAATTGCAATGGCATCCTCACATTTCATTATTGGCAGGAAAACTAAGTTCAGCTGCCTTTGCAATAAAAAAAATTAGGCAACTTACAGATGTAGATACCGCTAGGACAGTATACTTTAGTTATTTCCATAGCGTTATGTCATATGGCATTCTGATGTGGGGTATGGCTGCAGATATAGAGTCTATATTTATTTTACAAAAAAGAGCAGTAAGGGCCATTTATCAATTGGGTTCAAGAACGTCACTTAGAGATAAATTCAAAGAAATTGGGATATTAACAGTGGCCTCCCAATTCATATACAATTGTATACTTTATGTTAGAAACAATATAAACAATTATATTAAACATAGTCATGTACACAATTTTAATACTAGAAACAAAGATAAACTTGTTTTGCCGTCATGCAGGCTAAAGAAGGTTCTATCGTCATTTATGGGTCAAGGTGTATAACAAAATTCCTATGGAAATTTTAAATTTACCATTACCTAAGTTTAAAATCCATATTAAGAATTGTCTACTCAGTAAAGGATATTATACTATTAATGAATATTTAAACGACAAAACTACTTGGAGTTAAATATGGCTCATTTTTCATATATATTAAATTGTTCTTAATTGAGCTTCTTTATCTACAAATGTGATTGGATTGACGAAAATACTGTTTTACTCTTAATATTGTGTAATATTGTAATGGAAAGTGACTTCAAATTTTAATGAAGTCATTTTTCAATCTTGACGCTCTGTATGAAATAAAACAGGGAGAAAAAAGCAGCCCTTGCCGAGTTTCTTGCCGGTTCTTCTCGGTACAAGGTCTCCCGCCGTAGATTTACGAACCGTTGGCGTAGCTCTCGACTTTCACAAGTGCTTGTAACAGCCTAGACTGAATAAATGATTTTGATTTGATTTGATTTGATCTACATTCTTGAAGCGTGTAAATTTGTCAGAAAGCAGCCGGAATTCTATTCCCCCCAAATAAACAATAAACGGAACAATAGAAATTTAAATAAGCTAAAAGTACCCTTCTCTAAAATGCATTTAGTTACATCCAGCCCCCATTTAATGTTAATTAAAATATATAACCATATACCAAATCGCATAAAAAATTTAGGAAATCCTACACAATTTAATACAAAACTAAAATCATATCTTATTAATAAATGTTACTATAATATAAAAGAATTTTTTGAAGACAAATGTGACGAGCAAATATTAATTTAATTTATTTTTTACTTATTGTTTTTATATAATCTTTAGTCGCCTTTCATTAGGAATATTTATTTTGACATAATTTTCTATCTAATGGAATTTTATTCGAATTTTAAGGCAATGAACAACTAAATTATGAGATGTTTTTAATTTTAAATTATTGTTAATGTTATATTCTCCTCTACATATTGCAATGCCCTTGTAGGGCGTCACATGTATACCTAAAACTTAGTTATATCTCATTGTTTGTAATGTGACACGCAATAAATATTTTGATTTGATTTGATTTGATTCTTTTTCCCAACTTCTCCATTTTTCTCTTTATAGCTTCTATTACTTGTTCCAGTTTATTTTCTCCTTTTACGTTTTTTACGAGTATTAAAGGGTTTTTATTTTTAGCATGTTCTATGTTTAGTTTGCTATTAGTTTTCTCCAATATATTCTTTAATTTGTTTGCTTCTTCACTCTTGGCACAGCTGATTACTAGTTTTTGGTTTTTTGTTTTCTTTACTCTTACCACCTCGCACCAGTCTTCTTTTTTGTCTATCAGCTTGTTTATTTCTTCGAAGACTTTAGAGTTCACTATTAGTGAATGGTATGTGATGCGGGGTGGTTTTTGTGTTCTACTCTTCATGATGCCTGCATAGGTCTTTTCCGTTCCAGTTTCTTGTCTTTCTTCTCCTTTTCTGGTTTATGGTTTGAGATAAGCTCTATGGTTTCCTGCCTGCCTATTTGCCTCTCTTTCTATATATTTTGCTTTTCACTCGCACATCTGACGTCACTCTACTCAACCACCAGGCAGGCTTTGCGCGCTTGCTTCATTGGCGTCTTGTTTCCTGCAGCGCACGGAGGTGCTTCCACGGGTATCTAGTGAGTACATTAACGATTCTTTCTTCTTAGAAGTCAATTTTTGTAGATACCCTAGCCTCTCTTATTATATTTAGAATTCATGAAATGAATTCAAAAATCATTTTTATACGACCTCCGTAGCCGAGTGGTTCGCACGCCGGTTTCAAGGTCTCGCCATCTCTGAGGTCCCGGGTTCGATTCTCGGTCGGGTAAATGTCGAAAATGAACTTTTCTATATTGTCTCGGGTCTGGGTGTTGTGGCATCTTCGTTATCTCATATACTCCATAATACAGGAGCTTTAGCTACTCATCTTGGAATCAGAAATGTGTGTGATTTTTTAAAATATATTATATACATACAAGTACGTAAATCTACAATTTTGCCAACCGTATATGAAGCATTTTTTATCAATAGGGTAGACTTTACTTTCTTTCGAAATTGTTCAATTTCAAATGTGTAATTATTTATTTTTACAATTTATCAACTACCCTCTTTTTGCAATAATAAATTTCTTTTATCTAGATATTTTCAGAGAATCATTAAATCATTAATTTCATAATGAATAATTCAAAGGATGGAAATGTTTACAGTAATAATGAGAATACATTACATAGTGATACGGCTAATAATGGATCTCACAATCGAACAAAGAAACGAAATTAGCGTTGTCGCAGTTTCTCGAGTACTTCACTACTACCTTTGAGCGTGGACCCATACACGTTCATTAACCCGGCTCCTGGAAGAGTAGAGGTACCTTTTCTACTTTTCACTTGAGCAATTCCTGTTTGACGCCTCCACGTCGCGGGGGTGGGCATCTTACACTCTAGTAGGCCGGAGTGAATAGATGGCGAAGTTCAACAGGGACCCAGTTCTGCGGGGTATAACGCACAACCCATGCTCAGGGTTACGAGTGAAGACCTCAACGGTGGACTGAGCGGAGACAAAGGATGTCGGTACGGTCAATACAGCGGAAGAGGCGAGCCACAGAGGCTTTGTGTCTGAAACCTGGTGGAGGGCAGCGGTAGCCATCAGTACTGTGGTGAAGCGTAAGAAAATGGACCGGTTCACTATCAGAATTCTATGGACACTGAGTCTATAGTACCGCGATGTAGAAAGCAACGGGATACTACTACATTAAATTTCCCACGAGAGTTGATGATGAAATGCAAGACAGTTTGGAAGTACGTTTGCCTGACGATCCGCGTAGCGACCGGCGCTCTGAGTTTCCCGGGACTCAAAGTGTGAAATTGGTTACCGGCCGAGGGAACGTAGGTAACCAGGTGACCCCCGGAAAATATGTTACTGGAAGAGAACAAATAAAATTGCGCAAAGACACCCGCATTAGCACATGGAACGTACGTGGACTCCTTGATGAGGGTAAATTACACATTTTAGATCATGAGCTCAAGCGATGCGATTCCGTTATTACTGGTTTAAGCGAGACTCACTGGAAAAGTAGTGGCCACCGAGACTTGGAAAACCATACAATCTATTTTTCAGGAGATGGGACCAGTAGCTACGCAGGAGTGGCCATTACAATTCCCAAACAGTGGACTAAAGCAGTCCTAGGTTACAACCCCGTCAGCAACAGAATCATAACAATGAAACTCGATGCGTCGCCCACCCCATTAAATGTTATCCAGGTATATGCACTGACTAGCACAGCAAAAGACGAAGATGTAGAAAGATTCTACAATGATATTGAATCTTCAATAGCAGCCATACCAAATAGAGAATTGTTAATAATTCTTGGCGATTTTAACGCTAAGGTGGGTGATACACGAATGGATGAGGGCTTGACGACTGTTGTAGGTAGCTATGGTCTCGGTAAGAGGAATGATCGAGGAGAGAGATTGCTTCAGATTGCGGCTGATAACAGCCTCACTATTATGAATACAGTGTTCAAGCATCATCCTAGACGCCTATACACTTGGACGTCCCCTGATGGCAGATACCGAAATCAGATTGACTACATACTTATAAAATCTAGATGGCGAAGTTCAATCACGAACGCACACACACTGCCCGGAGCTGACTGTCAATCTGATCACCAACTCCTAGTATGCAATCTCAAACTCAAGTTGCGAAAATCCGTACCAGGTAAAGTGAAACAGAGGCTCGAAATAATAGACCAAGCTGCTTTTAAGAACAAACTGGCAAACTGTAGCAATACATGGTCGGAAAGGATAGATGATGATCCGGACTCACTCTGGCAATCTGCAAAAGACCAAATAAAAGAGGCCATGCGGTCGACTTAACCTGCCCGAAAGAAAGGTAAACACCAACATTGGATGTCGGATGATACCTGGCACCTGGTAGAGCGTCGACGTGAAATGAAGGCAAATCTCTCGTTTCATGGCGTTCTGCGTTTTTTTCCAACTCGATGCAAATGTTTTTGAGATGGTTGTTGCGATCTCTGCGTGAAGAAGATTGAATTTGAGCACCCATCGAATTCAAACCTTGAACAGATGCATCGAGTTGGAAAAAAACGCAGAACGCCATGAAACGAGAGATTTATTTAAGAGGATTCGTTGCATAACTCGTCAATTCAAGCCTAAGACATGGACTGTTGAGGATTCCAATGGGGTGACTGTAACGGAAATTAAAGATATAGTAGATGTATGGAGGGAATATTGTGGACAGCTTTTTACTGATAAAACTATAGCATCATCATATAGTACACCTTCGAGAGTTGCACATAATACTAAGGAACCATCTATACTAAAGAGTGAAGTTCGAGCCGCAATTAATCATCTGAAGAGTAACAAAGCTGTAGGAACTGACAGCAACCCTATAGAAATCTTTAAAACGATGGGCGAATACGGGGTTGAAATGCTACATATTATCTGCAATCGCATCTGGGAGACAGAAAAATGGGCGCCAGGATTGGGCACACTCCGTATTTATACCACTGCACAAGAAGGGATCGACAAAGAAATGCAGCAACTACAGACTCATAGCCTTGATTTCACATGCCAGCAAAGTACTCCTACATATTATCAACACCAGGCTACGTGCTTTTCTGGATCCTGAAATAGCCCTGGAGCAGGCAGGATTTGTCAAGGGTAGAGGGACGAGAGAGCAGATATTGATTCTTCGACAAATAATCGAAAAGTCCAGAGAGTTTAACATCCCACTCTATATCTGTTTCGTTGACTTTCGCAAGGCCTTTGACACCGTGGAATGGCATAAGTTATGGGACGTACTCATTCATATGGGAGTACCTAACCACCTAGTCCGTCTCATACGCCGGCTCTACGAAGATGGAACTGCTACAGTGCGAATAGATGACAGCGATTCGAAAAGTTTTCAAACAAAGGCTGGAGTTCGGCAGGGATGCATTCTCTCTCCACTTCTTTTTAACATATACACGGAGTACATTATGAGGATTGTTTTGGAGAAATGGGATAAGGGAGTTTCAGTGGGAGGTCAGAAGACCTCTAACTTGCGGTACGCCGATGATACAACTCTTCTCACGCGTACAAGGGAGGATATGGAGAAACTGTTAACAAACCTAGAGACAATAAGTCTCTCTTACGGACTCGCAATCAACAGAGACAAAACCAAGATGATGATCGTGGACAGAGCTGAACTTAATCAACCTGATATCACCAACATTAGCAACTGTGAAGTTGTGCAAAGTTACGTGTACCTCGGTTCAACGATCACGAACACTGGTGGATGTGAAGATGAGATTCGTAGGAGATGTGCTATCACAAGATCTGCCGTCGACAAACTGAAAAAAGTATGGTGCAACCGTAACATCACAAAATCCACAAAAGTTCGCCTGATGAGATGCTTAGTCTTCCCAATATTACTATACGGCGCGGAAACATGGACGGTTCGCTTGAAAGACCGACGTAAAATTGATGCCCTCGAAATGTGGTGTTGGCGACGACTGCTGCGGATCCCTTGGACAGCGTTTCGGACCAACGTTTCGATTTTGGAAGAACTCAAAATCAAAGAGAGATTATCGTCGACTGTAGAAATACGAATCCTCAGATATTTTGGACACGTTATTCGAAACCAAAACTCCATGGAAAGGCTCGTTGTCCAGGGACAAGTAGAAGGCAAGCGGTCGCGTGGTCGATCACCTACTCGTTGGACTGATTCCATAAAGGCTGCGACAGGTACCTCCATAAATCAATGTTGTCGCAACGCCGAAAACCGAAACAAGTGGAGAAGCATCACAAGGGCGACACTATCTGAATTGAATGCATCATCGTGAAACCACGACCGCTCTGCCAAGAGTAAACGACTAGGGGAGGAGAGGAGGAGAGTTTCTCGAGTAGTAGCTCTTCGAGCTCCTCGTGTAATTCTTTATCCTCATCGTCTTGTTCAGAGCCTGTGCAGTCAAAGCGTAACCGTCAACGCGAGAATCGTCGTTTCAGTAAATTAATTCGCGAAATGTGTCCTACGTAAACGAGTGTCTTATTATGATATGTAAACGAGTACGTAAACGAGTCCTACGTAAACGAGTGTCTTATCCATCCACATCGCGTTCGAATCGTAATTACGAAGAAGTTATAGATGGTAACGTTAGCGAAGAGTTATTTCGAGATTGTACCGTTAGCATTTATTATCAACCCGGTTTTAATTTTGAAATCGAAATAAAGTTAAAGGAACCCTCAGTTCCTAAAACACATCAAAGTTATTTGAAAATATTAAAAGATATTCAGCAATTTGATAATAACGAACGGTGTTAAGTCCGTTATGCAGACACTCGGTAATTTTATAATCTTTCACCCGCATTAACTGATTTAGACGTTAATGATGAACTAAAG